GATATCTATAAATATATAATAGTAAATATATAAAAAAAATATATAATATATAATATAATTATATTATAATAATAATTATAATATTATAATATATTATAATAATGAAATATATATATATATATATATATTACGCAAATCTATACATATAGATCTATAAATTTGCGTGCTGACTCCGGAATCCATGCAAAACAACGATGCATCACTGTACAATTTGTCGTTGCCGGAGCCAACGTAATCAGCACCGAGTTCTCAGCCAAAACACACGCGGAATCACACCTGGCCTATTAATGAAATTTCTTGAAAACCAGATTGAATCCGTCCATTTAATTCTCTGATATATGAAATCGTATAACCGGCGGAACAAGATTTGTTCGCGAATTGCTCCGGTATGCGGGATTGGTTGGTCCAATGTCGCAAAACCGTCGGTCGAATCGGAAAAGCGGGCTCGTGTAACGAACCGGTCGCGCGGAACGCAGACATAATTCCGCGATGCCCGCTGTAGGATCCCGTGATTGCACGTCGCGATCTCTGGATCGCTCCTCGTAAAAAACAGTTTATACGCTCGACCGTCTTCTGGCTTGTGCGCTCAAAACGCGTAATCGTTGGCAAAAGGCGGGCCCGGCAGGTCGTTTCGAACACGGTTATTCGAAAGAAAAATTGCTCCCGCGTTGTCTCGCGCTCTACCTTTTTTTTTATCACTTAATGATAATCCTTCCATCTTCACCCTCTCTTTCTCTCCCTCTATTTCTTACGCTCTATAATGTTATTCTATTTCTCTTTCTCTCTCTCTCTCTCTCTCTCTTGCTTTCATTTTTTCCCTTTATCTCTCCCTCCCTCTCCCCCTCTCTACCTCCATCTACTTTTTATAATTTTTCTTTTATTTCTCTCTCTCTCTCTCTCTCTCTCTCTCTCTCTTGCTTTCATTCTTTTCCTTTATCTCTCCCTCCCTCTCCCTCTCTCTACCTCCCTCTACTTTATATAATTTTTCTTTTATTTCTCTCTCTCTCTCTCTCTCTCTCTCTCTCTCTTGCTTTCATTCTTTTCCTTTATCTCTCCCTCCCTCTCCCTCTCTCTACCTCCCTCTACTTTATATAATTTTTCTTTTATTTCTCTCTCTCTCTCTCTCTCTCTCTCTCTCTCGTACGCGCGCTTTCCCTTCGGCTTAGTTTTTTATCACCCCCACCCTCTCTCTCTCCACCCTTTTAATTCTTACGCTTTATAATTCTGCTACTATTTTTTTGCACTCTCCTTGCAGTCTCTCTCTCTCGCTTTCCTCTTTGCTTTTCTTTCTCTCTCTCTCTCTCTCTCGCTTTCCTCTTTGCTTTTCTTTCTCTCTCTCCCTCTCTCTCTCTCTCTCTCTCTCTCTTCCGTTCTCTTTACATACAAGTCTCTTTCCATTTTTCTCTATATCTATACAGGGTGTCCCACCTAAGTTGACCATCTTGAATATTTCGTTTATCTTTTGTGATAGAAAAATATGACAGGGGAAAAACATTATTTTATTCGAAGAGCTCAATGCTGAAATAGGATAGAAATTTTTCTCAAGATCGTAGTTTTCGAGATTTCAAGGTCATCGGAGTTTCTTTATATAGAATTACGTCTTTTCAGCATCGTAATGCGATAGCTATTCGAAGGAACACATCTTGTTGTGTGAATAATTCTTTTTTAAGGGTCATATTTTTCGAGACATCACGGTCATCGATGTTTTTTTTTTAAGTGGGATTAAGATATAAATACGAACTGTTTCTTGAATACCATTAATTTTGTTAACGATTCGTTCCTATCTATCAAACAATGTACTGTCGCCGCTGTTCTGTACTGATCTCACTGTCCTCTTTTGTCCGTTTTAGTATATTATTATTATTTATTATTGTTATTATTCCTATTGTTATTATTATTACTTTTGTCCGNTCCGTTCTCTTTACATACAAGTCTCTTTCCATTTTTCTCTATATCTATACAGGGTGTCCCACCTAAGTTGACCATCTTGAATATTTCGTTTATCTTTTGTGATAGAAAAATATGACAGGGGAAAAACATTATTTTATTCGAAGAGCTCAATGCTGAAATAGGATAGAAATTTTTCTCAAGATCGTAGTTTTCGAGATTTCAAGGTCATCGGAGTTTCTTTATATAGAATTACGTCTTTTCAGCATCGTAATGCGATAGCTATTCGAAGGAACACATCTTGTTGTGTGAATAATTCTTTTTTAAGGGTCATATTTTTCGAGACATCACGGTCATCGATGTTTTTTTTTTAAGTGGGATTAAGATATAAATACGAACTGTTTCTTGAATACCATTAATTTTGTTAACGATTCGTTCCTATCTATCAAACAATGTACTGTCGCCGCTGTTCTGTACTGATCTCACTGTCCTCTTTTGTCCGTTTTAGTATATTATTATTATTTATTATTGTTATTATTCCTATTGTTATTATTATTACTTTTGTCCGTCTTAGTATATTATTGTTATTTATTATTGTTATTATTACTATTGTTGCTATTATTACTTTTATCACTACTATCAATTATTGTTTCTGATTTGTCTTTTCTATTGCTATTTAATTAATATTTATTATCATTATAATTTTTACTTTGTTATTTCTTATATATTATATATCTTTCTATTGTTTGTAAATCTTCTTAAACTTTTTATATATACATATCTCTCTCTCTCTCTCTCTTTCTCTCTCAGTCGAACAGTTACATTTTCGCGCTGCATCTGCTCCGGGATCGTTAAACCGGACAACGATCGGCATTCCTTTGCTCCGCGCAGCAGCGATTTCTTTCTAACGAGCTTTTTTCGAAACTGAGTATGCAAATCACAACGCCGTTACGGATTCGCACGCCGCTTATGGAAAGGCTGATCTCTGGGATCGATCAGTTATCTGCGAACTTCATTTCCGCCATTCTCGCTTTTATTTTAATAATCTCTGCCATAAATTGGAAACAGTTGTTTGACGTCAGCCTCGTGGAAGGATGCGATGATGGATCGTTTTCTTCGAACGTTCCAGGGAAGCATTTATTATCTTGTTCTTTCTTTGTTTATTTATTTATTTATTTATTTCACGGGTAAGAGAACCCGTTGTACGAACTTTAACGAATGCGGCAATATTTATTATATTTAATAATTGGTTTGGTAGATCTGATTTATGTTAGATATTTCCTTACATATTATGTTGAATATTTTGTTTGATATTATGTCACATATTTTGTTAGATATTGTGTTAGATATTATATTAGAATCGAAAAGTTCAAATTACCATCCGATTATGGTAATATCTGTAACATTGAGCAACGTTGCATATTGACCGCTTTTATAAAATAGGTGAAATTGATCCGAAAATTTTAATGTCCTGAAATAAGGTAAAATTATGT